TCCCAGGCCATCTTCTGTTTCATTGGAATTCACTGTGTTTGAGGTTTGAAATACATTGTATAACTTATTTTATAAACATGCAATTCCTTTTTTAAATAAATTTGGTGAACATGTGAATTCACATAAAATAAATTAAAAGAATGGCTCCAGCATACTCTGTTACACTGCTAAATCCTTGAGTTGGATTATTTTGTATTTTATTATATGAATAAAGTGTATTTTATTATATGAATAAAGTGTAACTCCATTAGTATAGTGTGACCTAGCAGATATTCTCTGTTTGCAGATTCATGAATGAGAGAAATAAAGGGGACACTTTCCATTGCCTATATCTTCTTTTCCTCATTTGCATCTCAACCCATCCTAAACTCTGCTTTGATCAAATTCTTCTTTAGGTCTAAGAAACATAAAATGAAGATTTACCATTATATGGAAAACTCCGTACATTGGTTTATAGGTACTTAAGACCTATAAGGTACAACTCCGTACATTGGTTTATAGGTACTTAAGACATTTTTCTAAAATGAAAAAGGTCCTATTTAAGGTAACTCAGTCATAAAAAAAGGATTATTTTTAAAACCTCTTTATCACATGCATGTTTTTACTGGCAGAATTATCCATCAAACTATTTACTACTTAAAACTTTTGTTAAGTAAACACAGTTTGCTTTACATATTGATTTGTTGTGTATAATTGATTACTTTTATGGGTACAATTTTCAAGAGCAATCAATGTGAACAGAGTTAGGCCAACTGATCATTTTTAAAAATCTCATCTTAAAAAGTCACAATATTAAAATGCAAACATAGATGCAGTACTTGATACAATGGCAAAGGGTTAGGGTGAAGACATTACATATGAGCAGGGAGCTGCACCCCCTGCTCGTTACACTCACCAACCCCCCTCTCTGTGGACCCTTTCACAGCCAGAGAACCTGATGACATCATACTGTTGCATGGCAAGAAAACTTTTTATATAAAGAGATAAAAGAAAAAGTGTGTGAGACAGACAACATAGTGTCAGAGAGGATATAATAAGCATGGCTCATTATTGCCACTTAACACTATAAAGTATCTTTTATCAAAGAGAAAAGAAGGCTGTGTGAAAGAAGTGAAGGTGAAATTAAAAACAAGAGAGGACTACTGCAACAATGTACAAGACAACATCCCAAGTGATCCAGAAGTTTCAAGATGTAGTAGAGACCTCACCACGTAGTCTAGAAGAAATTTTCATCAATCATGGTATTCCTCAATATTTTCTTATCAAAACTGTTTGTAAGCAGATGTGTCCATGTCCAATAATGGGTGACAATTCATTCTTTTGCTGTTGGAAAATGATCTCTCCAATCTCTAAAATATGTTTACAGTCAGACATAATTAGTCCACTTGAGCCAGCATATGAAAAAATAGGATAAATCTGACATAACTTCAAACATTGAAAGAAGAACCAGAAGTGTATTCTGTCTCCAACAGTGACTCATACCAGAAATTCAGGGGAAAAGTACAGAATGTTTATCCATCCCTGGCCTCCCCCCTCCCGGCTTCTAACAGTTGAGGTTTAGGGAGTACTCAGGGCATGGGACTGTACCACTGATAGGCCTATTCTCCATGGTCTTATCTAGTTAATTTTTGAATGTTTTGGCCATCATAACATACAATGGCAATGAGTTACACAGGTTAATTGGGCACTATGTGGCCACATCTATATTGCAACACTACTTCAGGATACTGGAGTATCCCGAAATAGCTATTTCACTTCTTCACAGCAAACCCGTTATTTCAGGCTCACTCTTCTGACATCCCTGTAAACCTCATTCCACAAGGAGTAAAGGATGTTTCAGAATAACAGGTTATTTTGAAATTTGGCACTGTGTAGACAGCACTAAATTATGAAATAAGCTATTTCAAAATAAGATCAAAATAAAATGTGCAATTTGCATAGCTGAAATTGTGTATCTTATTTTGAACTATGGGACAGTGTAGATGTAGCCTGTGAAAAAAAACCTTCTTTTTGCTTTTATTCATTCTGCTGCCTATCCAGTATGACTTTGTCTACACTGTGAGTTTTTGCAGCAGAAAATATGCTAATGAGGGACTCATTAGCATAAGTTGCAATATCATTAGCATATTTTCTGCCATTTCTTTTTGCGCAAGGGGTTTTTGTGCAAAGAGAAGCAATGTAGCCGCTTCCGTTTTGTGCAAATCCTGTTTTGCGCAAGATCCTTATGCCTCTCCCAGAGGCACACAAGAAACTACAAAATGTTAGACCTGGGGGTCTCCCGGAGAGGCATGAGGATCTTGTGCAAAATGGGACAGCCCAAGCACTTCCCCATGCAGCTGCCAGCTTGAGGGGGAGGTGCAGCATGCAGGAATCCTTGCACAAGGCTCCCAGAAGAACCCAGGCCCCAGCACCCACATAGTCCCAGCCACAGAGTGCTGCTCAGTCTGGGAAGCCATTCTGACTGCCTCTGCTGCAATGCAAACTGCATGTCCAAGCTGACATGTTTCTATAGCCTACAGGGCCGGTTTGGGGGGTCAATTTCAGTTACCCCGGGTAGGAACGGAGAATCCTAGATGAGGATGTGGACGTTAGCAGAGTGTGGGGGGTGCAGGTGGGATTCCAGTATGAGGGCATGGCTGTTAATGGGGGACATTCCAGCACAAGAAGATGGGGGTGTCAGGATGACGACTCAGTTTAATGTCTTTTATAGGATCCTGGTCTCTCTCTGGGCTCCTGGACACGGGAGGAGACACTATCAACTTGCTTGTACTGCATTGTCAACCACAAGCATTCAAAACTTATGAATCAGCCCTTCTCCTCCCACCCCCAAAAAGAGAATGGCTTCTTGAAATCACAGATAAAATTACATTTGGGGATCTTTTTATTTGGTAGCTGGTGTTTGAGGTCTTTGGCTGAACTTGGAAATGTTTTCTAGCTTTTCTCCACAAACCATGAGACCTAAAGTTTTCTTTTAAAAAAAAAGAAAAATAAAGAAAAAGAAGGCTGGGATTCTCTTCTAACACTATACAGCGACAAGCAAGCTGTATAATCTACTAAGTCAGAGCAATCACAGTTGATGGCAGTGCATGAGGCATCAAGTTTCCAGACTTGCCTTAATTCTAATAATATGGCTGAGCTCTCCAGAAACAAACAAAAAAAACAGCCCCATCTATCAGGAGGCTTGTGATCAAACCTGGAGAGTTGGCATCACTGATATCTAGTCACAAAATGAGTTAGTAGTGTTACAGCTTACACCGATAGGCTCTGCACACACCTCCTCCAGGGCACAAGGACAAGCTGGAAGTGGCAAGGAACTAGCAGCAGGAAGCCACTCTAGCCCTGCTGCACTACTGGTGGTGGTGGCAGGGGACCCCAGTGGGCTTTAAATCACCTAGGGGTGACAGGTGGGACTGGGGGACACATGGTGGGGGGAATGCATGGGCCAGCAGGAGGGGCCAGGAGACACCTGGAGGGGAAATGTATAGAGACCCCCCCCAAGAACCCTGCCAGAAGGGGGTGCACTTCTGCCCGCTAGGAGTATTTGAGAACTGGTGCTGCTCTAAGGTAAATTGAGTTTGAGACCCCTGTGCTAGACTTTCCTTAAGTTTGCTCCCTTTCCTATAGGATGTATTGATGGTGTCTAATGTGTACACAGAAGTACACATGCTGGAGCAGTGGGTTTGAACTACAGTGTATGACAGTATGCAAACTGCAAATCTGACTACAGGGACATTATTTTAGTAAGAAAAGGACTTTGTCTATAATAAGGCTCCACATTAACCACATATGTATGAGCCTGTGTACACTTTGCAAGTGGAACACTGACAATTAGACAGTCAGGAAAACGATGTCATCAATGCAATACTTAAACAACACACAGAAGAGAGAGAATTTGTTGAAAAATACTTTAGTGACTTAAATATGAAGGCTGTGGAACAGGATGAGCCAACTCCACAAAAGCCCCAATCAGCATTTTACTATTGCAGATTACTTCTCAGTATATTGGGGATGAATTCGTGGGATAAAAGGTAAAAACAACAAAAAATAGTATTTGGTAACAATTATGTAACACTCCCTTCATCATCTTATTTATTCTCCTAACTTTTGGCAGTAAAACTGGTTAGTTCAAGTGTGTTTTATGCCAACTTATACCAGAATTTTTGAAATGGGTGAGTGGGCTTGGGCTGGAAAAGGCAGGCGCCTTCTTGTTCCAGGGCAGAGATCATGGATCTCATTCAGGTTTGGAAGGATGCCCCCAATGTCCATGATCTCCTCACTAGAAGGAGAAATGCATCTGTCTATGGCAGGATAGCTGCCAGCATAGCCAGCAAAGGCCACATCCGCACCCAGGAGCAGATGCGGATGAAAATAAAAGAGCTTCGGCAGGCCTATGCCAGAGCCACAGGGGGTAGCTACCAACCAGGGGCAAACACACTACAAT